GGGGTTAGGTGGCAGGGGACAGTAAGGCGGCACGGAATCCCTACACCACCGCACCCCCACCGGGTCCCGCGCCAGCCCAGCCTGCCTATAGGACTCCTTTGACGGTCGTTCAAGGGACGCAAGCACAAGCAACCCCTCCGTACCGTCGTACCTAACGTCCTCGTCCCCAGACGGTCACCCTCACATATATATTCTCTCTGTCTCTCAGCTTTACATTCACACACGAGGAAGGCACGACGGCGACGTGCAGGTCCCGTCCAAAGGCTCGACGCAAGACGGGTAGTCTAACTAAATGATTGGGTGCTGCGGTAGAGAGCCTGGGAGAGCAAAACCACAGGGAATTTTGAAACATTCTTTGTAGAGGGACACATACGAGTCACGTCGCCGTATAACGAACGTGTGTCCCATGTGTGTGTGCGTCATGTCGGTGTCTCGTGTGTGTGTGTGTGTGTTTGTGTGCGTGTGCACGCGCGCGCATGTTGCTCGGTTTTGCTGGCGAATGTGAACACACCAGGGAAAAAAACAACACACAGAGCAGAAAGAAAAGCTCTGCTGCTGCTACTCTGCTCGAGGCGACATGGCATTAAGACAGCGCGAGATGAATCTCTCTTTCTCATTCTCTCTCTCATCCCTTCACTCCAACCCCTTTACTATCCCCCTGCAGCCACAACATCCCCCCCCCCTCTCTCTCTCTCTCTCTCACACACACACACACACATTCACGCACACGCACGGCTCCGCCTCTTGACTTGACATGTCACAATCTTCGCCACCTTTCTAGATATGTATAAGGTGTAGAGAGTAAACTGGGAAATGTGAGATGTGAGGCGCCGTGTGCAAATCCTCGCCGACTCCGAGCTGCGCGCTCCGAGAGTGGCGCCGAGAGTTGTCTAATTTAATAAGTCGCACTGCCAGAAGAGAAAACGGTAGAAACGAACGCGCACGTGTATTTTAATGAATGTATATTTGCGACGGCAAAACTATTACAAAACCAACCGAGCAGAGTATGCGTATTAAAAAATTGAAATTTAATTAAATCCGCGCGAACATGGCCTGTACTAGTACTATGTCAACGGACGTGAAATAATCTGAAGAGCGCGGAAACGGCGAGAGCAAAGGACTTTGTTTAAATAGGCCGCCGCCAGAATGGTCCTCCAGCGCACGCGCACCTAGCATCCGGCACACGCACGACCAAACCCTGCCTGCATGTCGAAAGCCCCCCCCCCCCCCCCCCCTCCTCTCTCTTTCTCCCCCTCCTCTCTCTTTCTCTCTCTCCCTCTCTCTCTTTCTGGTGCGTTAGGACAAGCGTCTACATCTATAAACGCAAACTTACCACGCCACTAAAAGGCTGTTAAAAAACGCGGAACGATAATAATAGCATTCGCCTCTCCCGTCAACAACGTGGTACCCAGCCAACATGATCAAGTTGTTTTCGTGTATGTTTGTCTTTTCTGTAGGCTTTTTTCTTTCAAAAAAGATTTTTTTTGGATTTTTAAGCAACACAGCCAATGGATAAAACACAGCTGTAAATAAAACATAAACGCTCTACAAGATGTGTCACGCTCTAATAAATATCCAGGTCACATGTGCAACGTGCGTGTTTTAAAACAACTTTATTTGCAGCAGTGCGTTGCGTTCGACAGTAGCACTTAGCAGCCATCCTAACCCTAACCGGGGAGAAAAGTTGGCCTCTCCGGAGAGCCGGCTAGGGCGGGGTGGTGTGGTCCCGACCGCGGCAGCGCAGCGAGGGGCGGGAGGGGCAGACCCCAGACGGGGGCGCTCGGTGAAAAACGGAGCCCCACC